CTGTGATGTTTTGGTGTCCAAGTAATGCTTATTACTTGGCGAGGTGCAGGGCCTGCTCTCCTGAGTGCTATAGCCAGTGAGGGGGCAGGGCTGGGTCTCCAGCAGTCATGCTCTTGGCCAGTTTTCCCTACTACCACAGGTGGCAAAGGTGAAGGGAGAGGGCATCACACCTACACCCACACCACCTCACAGCAGACAGTTCTCCCTCACTCATGACCGACCTCAGGCCGGCTCACCTGTGCCCCTGCCACCAGGGCCAGCTCTACTGTGCTGTCTTGGTGACGTGTAGGACCTGCTCTTCTGAGTGCTGTAGCTGGTGAGGGGCAGGGATAGCTCTCCCTTGCTCATGACCTGGTGGGCAGCTTTTTCTGGCTGCTGGTGGTAGCAAAGGGGGAGACAGGGACTGTGTCCCCCCTTGGCAGATGAGTGGTGGGGTCAGCTTTCCCACATTCATGGGCCTACTCACCCCCACCCCCACCTCCAGGACCAGTGAGCTACCTGTCCAGCCTTAACACAGTAGAGTTGTGTTTGAATCCAGCCTTGTTCATTTGTTTGTCATCTAAGGCTGCTTTTCTGATAACGGGAAGGGCTGAGAAGTTGTTTTGGGGAGTTTCTGGCTGTCAAAGCCTAAAATATTTGCTAAGATGCTCTTTACACACAGCTGTTGTGACCCAGCAGAATGGGTTGGTTAGGGATGTCAGGGACCACCTGAGCCTGGATGGGATGAAGGTGCAGAGTGCACAAAGGAGAGGCCTGATCTTGGAAAAGGCACATTTCAGAATTTGGCTGTAGGCTCTTTGTGGCAGTTGATAAAATGTTTTTTTTTTTTTTTTTTTTTTTTAATTACTGTTTTTGATCAACAAGATCAAATCAGTAAGCAAAGTTTGTGGTTTTATGTAACAACCAGTGATTAGGAAAAAATATCTGTGAACTGTTAATTATTTTTCTCAGCAACAATGGCTAAAATACTCTACATATAAGCCAGCTTTTAAAAAATTCAGTGCTTAGGTATTAGAATAATTTTTAAAACAAGTGTGATAGTCTTAGTTGTAGTTATTCTAGCAGTTAGTTTCCTTTTCAGTAGGAGGTCCACTGATAAATTAACTGTAAAATGTGTGTACATATGGTATATTAGGCCTGTCTAACCTGTGACATATAATCACTGGTAGTTTTCTTTAATTTTACTCAAACAGAACTTGCCAAGACCAACAAATGTGTTGAAACTTGAAGGAAATGAAATTCTACCTTTTGTGTAACTCAAAGGAATTTTTTTGTCCTCTAATACAACATTTCATTTATACATTGTCTTCAGGGTATGCATTCCTATCTAATAGGAACGTCTAACGGCTGAAGTTTAATTGTCTTCATAAGCACTCTGCCTTCTGCGAATGAAGTAGCTAAGCTTCTTAAAGCCCTTTTGAATATTTTTGTTAGTTTGGTTAAAGTAGGACTGACAGCGATTATTATTAATAATGCTTGTAATATGGGACCGACTGACTGATCTTTACCAGCTATTTCATTGTCGTTAATCATTACGTATTTAGATGCATTACGTTGTCTTGACTATGGACACAGGCTTTGCAGCGCTGTAATGCCAAGTTGTTTTCTTCAAGGGCTGTGGAGAAGGGAGATAAGTGGGGAGAGGTGAATGTTTTCACTGTTGTTGAGAAGAACATTTTTGTCGTCATCTAGGAAACAGTGTTTATATTTGTATTATTTCAGGTAGGGCTAATAGAATCTGTAGCTATTTGCCGTCTGACTGGAGGAATTTTTTTTTTTTAATTTCTTTCTTTCTCAGATTTTGTAGAGAGAAACAAATATGGGTATTCTCTTCAGGAAATTTAAAATACAGTTAATTTGGACTATAGACCTAAATGAATCTGTTTTAGTAATTAATAGGGAAGGAGAAATTAAATATGCTAAATAGAAATCACAAGACATCTATCTACATTAGAGCCACATCTTAAAAGGTGACTGTTTTTCAAGTTTGTGCATTTAGGCTATGTGGATCTCTCGGAGGAAAGAAAAAGAATTAAGCTAATGTCTCTGAGGTACTGCCTCAGAGTGCAGTACCCTGGAAGGCAAGGTTCAGGCTTGGACCTCTTTCATTAGGCCTCATTGCAGTGAGGCCTCTGTTAGTGAGTGCCAGTGGACTAGAGGTACAAAAAAGACTAGGTTCTAGTTTGCAGAGCTGCAGGGCACACTGATGGGAGTGTGGATGAGTTTCATCAGGGACATGGTCTTGAAAGGACTTCTGGAAAAGGAGGTGCTTAGGCTGGAGGGTGCAGCTGGTTGTAGAATGTTTTCCTTAAGGTCAGAACCACTCCAAGCTCACACAGGTGAAGACTTGTGTGGGGACAGTGTGACAAGTGTATTCTGGTGGAGGGAGGAGCACAGCTGAGCAGACGTACAGGAGCTTGGAAGCGCATGCTTGCAGGAACCCATGGGCCTAGAACCTGGGAGAGCAATAACAACAATCACTCTCCTGAGTCATTTTCCTTTGTTTTACAAACACAGGTTATTTTGTATCTGACGGATATGTAATGTGAGCTTACTCTGTAGAAGCTATTTATGGTTAATTGGATTTTAGGAGTCTTTTGATGGCTCTTAAATTCAGCTCCATTTTGTTTGTAATAAGGGCCCAGTGTATCCATGACAAATGGACATGTAACACCGGGATTATATTTGTAGGCTAGCACATGACCTTAATTGTTCTATGGTCTGTAAACTATAAAAACACCATTTTTTTTTTTTTTAGAATAACTGTCTTCTTTAGTCTGTAGCCATAGTTTTGTTCCAAAGTTTGTGCTGCTTTAGATATCAGTTTTTAGTAAAATGTGTGGTAAGTAATTAAGGAATGACCTGGCTTTCAAGGGAAGACTGATGACGTGGCAGTGGCATCTGTGAAGAACATGGAGGATCAGCTGAAGGAATTGAGACTAGCTCCATCTTCACAGGTGTGAATCCACATCTCTTGGCCACCAGAGGAGAACAGAGAAATTACTGTAGATTATTCCGGTTGTTTTCTTATTATTTTTGCACTACTGAAGTTTAAACATAGGATCTTGTGCATACTAGTAAAATGCGGTGCCATTGAGCTACCTTAGCCCTCTGTTTTTATTTGTAAGACCAAATAATAAATGTTGAAACTATGCATCTGAACACATACAGGTAATTGGGTTTGTCATAGAAATTGTGATACTCTTGTCATTCTTCACTGTGTTTCAAACTCTTGCTTATTTTCTCCAGTATATTCAGTAATCCTTAATGGGAGTGTTAGTAAATGTTCTTCTTCTTTTTTTTAAAAAAAGACAGTATTGTCAGCAAACATGTCGTACATATGTAATTGATATAGTTGCCGAGGCAAGTGGATATCACTGTTTTTGCTTGGTCACTAAGTCACTGAAACACTGGGTCAAAGTTTTATGACTTGTATTTGGAAACAGTGCTGACTGATGGGGTGGAGGGAGGATAGATATTTTTTGTGTATGTTTCTCAGTCTCCCTCCCTGACCCCCAGACAGGGTTTCTCTGTGTAGCCCTGGCTGTTCTGGAACTCCTCTGTAGACCAGGCTAGCCTCAAACTCACAGAGATCCATCTGCTTCTGCCTTCTGGGTGCTAGAATTAAAGGCACATGTCACCACCACCTGGCTGTTTCTTAGTTTTTAATTAATTAATCAATACCCTGCCTTTTTCCTGAAACAAATTTCAGATACCTTAAAGATAAATTAAGAAAAAAAAAAAAAAAAAGACAAGAGAAGAGGGCAGAGTTGTAGGTCAGTGGAAATTGCTTAACATGTGGGAGGCCCTGAGTTTGGCCCCTATTTATGCCCAAGAGATAAGTAAGGAAACTGGGGAGAAGAGAAAATACAGATAAAGTGGGATTCATATTGTTAGAAAACATGAGCTATATAGCTGTCTCTAGATTTCACAAAGGCCCAGCCGCAGGGAAGCATTGGTTATTTGTCTCTCTAAGACTGAAAGACACCACATAATACACAAGAAGCCATGGTGCTGAAGTTCTTACAGAAAAAAAGTCCCCTGATCCTGTAAAGGAAGGGAACATATATGGAGTGTCTTTGATGGTTGATGTCCAGGCAGCACAGGATGGTAATAGTTTGGAGCTTCTGTGGTCTGGCTTAATCCTTTGATTCTCCACTGAGAACAGAGAACATTCAGATGGCTAGGACTGTCTGTAAGAGTCTCTTCGTTGTCCCACATGGCAGTTTTCTTCAATCTTTAAACGCAGGTTGTTGTTTCTTTAGGGGAGGTATCAAGTGAGGAAATTGGCTTTCATTAAGGTACCAAATTGCACCCAAAAATTGTCATCTTCAGATCTCTGAAATGACAGTAGGCTGTACTCCTGGCATGCGAGAAGACTGTATTCCTGAGAGTCATTCTCATAGGGGAGCTGACTGGCGCACACCACACCCTTCTGCTCCCTCCCTCCCTCCCTCCATCTCAGGTGTAGAGTTGCTCATGTTAATTTTGGTGTTGGCTTCATGGGATCTAAAGAGTGGATGGCATGCTTGCTTGTCCTCTTGGTTGCCCTTCCAAGATCCACATTAGGCAGTGGCAGATCCATAAGCAAGAGAGTTCATCAGGACTGGATTATGATTGTCCCGGGAATGCAAGTACTGGGATCAGAGGACTTTAACTGGAATTGTGACTCTAGCACTTATTGGCCAAGTGATTTGGGTAAGCAGCTCCTTCCCTTATATTGTCTATAAAATGGAGAGGACAGTATTGATTTCAAGATTGTTTCAAAGGCAGAGGGAGAGAACATGTAAGGACTAACAGCAGCAGTAACCCACATATAGTAGGTACACAGTCTACACTGCAGCCCATAACTTCTGGTTCATAATGAAGAAGCTGCAACAGGCGAATCCAGTTTCCCCTCCGTCCATCCGTCCGTCCGTCCCTCCCTCCGTCCGTCCCTCCCTCCCTCCTTCCCTCTTTGTCCTTCTCTCTAGTTTTATAACAACTCTATCTTTTTTCAGGGAAACAGCACCCAGAACGATCTTCCAGAGAGTCCTGGATATCTTAAAGAAATCTACTCATGCTGTTGAGCTGGCCTGCAGGGATTCTTCCCAAGTGGAGCACCTGGCTTCCAGTCTTCAGCTAATCACTGAATGCTTCAGGTGTCTTCGGAATGCTTGTATAGAGTGTTCTGTGAACCAGAATTCAATCAGGTAGTGACACACTTTCTTCTGAGTGTTTCTTATGTGTGGTTAATGTTTTAGCTTTATAGTATTGCCCATTGTTTTTACAAAACTGTCCTTTACCTCTAGATAGGAAACATTTCTATTTTTCTTGTATTCTCTTTAACAAGAGGGATTATTCAGCTTTCCTGTTTGTAATTTGTAACTTGTTTAGAAGTATTTGATTCTTTATTTAACAGTTATTTCAATTTGTCATTGGTTCCATATTTCTAGGTTCTGCCTGGCCAAGTTCACATGGAGTTCTTGATCTTTTAATTACAGATGTTTCCATAACCCTGTATTTACATTGAATATTTCATAAGTTTCTGAGATTATATGTTAGAGACTAAAGCTCTGAGTACTTTCCATCCATCTTAAGCTGTGCTTGATTTTGAGAAGTGTTAAGTACTGAACAGAGCATGCTATCTGCTGCTCTTCCCTTTGTACAGCTTTCACACCTAGAGCTGAGCTTCTTTCCTTTTGTCTACCTCCCCTCCCCCAAGAATGGGTTTCTCTTTGTAGTCCTGGCTGTCCTGGAACTCACTCTGTAGACTAGGCTGGCCTCAAACACAGAGCTCCACCCGCTTCTGCCTCCTGGGTGCTAGGATTAAAGGCATGCACCACCATGCCTAATTTTCCCTCTTGCTTTTATGAAACCAGATTCTTGTTAAAAATTGTTTTAGAATATTTTAGTTGCAATGAAGTTGGAAGCCACAAGCAGGATGCTCACCTTTCTTTCCTGGATTTGCATGTAGAAAGGGCCTCAAGGCCTCTCCATCACTGCTGTGATGGGTGAAGTTGAGCTGGTCCAGAAGACATTTGATTCCCTTGGCTGCTTAGACAGTCTTATACCTGAGGCTTTAATATGATTAATGAGATTTTTAAGATGAAAGGAAAGGAAGAAAAAAAAGCTAGAGTTGTTTTAACATCAATGCTAAAACGTACCTGCCATCTCTTTTGGGAAAATGGATAGAAATAACAATAATCTTGCTATTAATGGTTATTATTTTGCTTTTTTAGCTAATTAATTTTTTAAGATTATTTATGTATCTGTGTGTCTGAGTGTGTGGGATCCTCTGCAACTGAAGCTGGTGGGTGTGGAGAGCTGAATTTGCATCCTTTAGAAGAGCAGCAAGTGCTCTTAACTGCTGAATCATTTCTTCAGCCCCAATATCAGTATTTTAAAAACATAATGGTATGTTCTGGAGACCTGGGCCAGAATACCAGTTTCTTTTATGTTTTCCTAGGTGGGGAAGGACCAGGAGCCTAGAATAGTCTGCACATGGGCTGGGGTGGCCTCAGCGGGGAGGAAAGAAGCTCTAGCACTAGGTTTGGGCCTTTGTGCTCACTTGCAGTATTTTAAGCCTTGGGATAAACTGAAGAACAGTGGGCTACAGTTTTGTGGTTGTTCAAAGGAAGAAACCATGGCTTGGAGCAGTGAAAAAACTTGTCCAGAAGTCATTCACAGATACATAGGGAGCTAGTGGTACTCTTTCCAGCTCCATGCTGAAAAGCAAGTTCTTGCCATTGTCTCGCCCTCAGAAGGTTCTCTGCCTGTGATTATAGTCAGTCACCTAGCCTGCCCATGGGACACCGCACATGGAGGAAGCCCCTCTGAATGTCACTTTCCCCTTTTCACAAGGTAACAAGGTAGTGACTGGTAGGTGAGACTTCTTAGCTGTGGCATCAGTGGGATGGCAAGTGTACAGTGCTTCTGCCTCTGCTGGGAATGCTGTCACCTGCCTTCAGACTACTGTGTTTGATCTGAGCAATACTTACCTACTAAAAACAACAACATGAAAATAATACTATGGGAAATGAAGTATTCAGTCATATGGCATGGTCATCAAAGCATGTACTTATGGTTAACTTTTACTGTGTCAACTTTTATATGGCACACATGAAAATAAAAAGATAAGGGCACCAATTGTTCTGTCTTTTGGTTTGGTTTCTAGTATTATATTATTATTGTTGTTGATTTTCATTGGGAAATTTTAGTCATTTGAGGCATTAGCTTCCAGAAAAATATTTTAGTCAGAAATACAACAAAGATTCTAGTGGGAACTTTGCACATAGTTTTAACTAAAGCCAATATTTCTGAGTTTGTTAGATTCAGGTTGAAACATCTATATGTATGTGTTTGTGTGTGTGTGTTTTCTTCGTTTGTTATTCAAGGTTCAGAAGATATGCCATTAAGGCCCAGATCTCTTTTGTATGGCAGGGATGTAATACAGCAAACAGTCTGAAATCTGGTCATGTGACATTTCAGGAAATACCCAGGAAAACTGTTCAACGTATTATCTCTGCATGTAAATAAAACCGCTGCTGCTGTAGTCACTGTATGTTTTTTGTATATGGCCAGCTAATAGTTAAGCTTTGGGAAGTTTCTGTTATATTTCTCAACTATTCCATTGTAGTATGACATCAACCAAACAGTATGTGAAAAGAGTGAGCATATTTGCATTATATTTTTAAACTCCGAAATTTGAATTTTATGAAATAAACTTCATATCCTTCCCTTCAGCCCTCTTGTAACATTTAACGAAGCAAAGTGTCCCATTATCCTGGGAGCTGTTGCCTATGTAGAAATGAGTAGAGTAGGATGCAGTAGTATCTTTCCTGGGAAGCAGGTGTTGTGCTCTTTCTCACTGACTGCCTGAGTGAAGGGGCTGGAGCAGTGACTGCCCACCTGTACCTGTACCTGAGAATAGGGAGAGAGCACTTTTGCCACATGTATGATGACTAAAATAGGTTTAACATATAGTTCTCAAATTTGATCCAGACAAATCAGGATCTTCTCTTTGGTAATTTGGTCTTAATTCTTATTCATGTTGAGAAGGGAGTAAGTTGGGGTTGTATTAGTTTTCCATTGCTGTAACACATTAGCACATACCTAGGGCTGAAAATAACAGTTGTGTCTTCACAGCTGTAGGTGAGGTTCTGAATCCAGCTGGCCTGAGATCAAAGCATCTGCAGGGCTGTTTCCTTTCCAGGAGGGTCTGGGGGAAATTCTTCCTTTGTCTCTTCTTGCTTTTAGTGGTCTTCTGCTTTCCTTGGTTCACAACCCCTTCCTCCATCATCAAGGTAACAATGTGTAGTATCTAACAGACTCTCTTTCTGACTGACTTCCTGCGACCCTTTCATGAAGACCTGTAATAGATTGTATAGAATAATCTCCCCACCTCAAAATTGGTCATTAGTTACGTCTAAATAGTCTCATGTATTTGCTGACACTAGTTCTGAATCTCTGATACTAACTGAATGTTTAGTAATTCACTTCTTTTCTGACACTATCTATGGGAATTAGTCATAACTTAAAAGGCTCACTTCCTGGTTGGCTGTTGCTATAAGTAGGCACAGCAAGAAACCACTGAACACAGCTATTCTCCATGGATAGAAAGAACAGTTGTGATAGAAAAAATCTTTCTGGCTGCCTGGGACCGTAGAGAACAACAGCCAGCTATAAACACCTGCTAGGTTCTATAAAGATACATGGAGGGGCAGCTTAGATAGAGGAGGTACTGTCACTGTGGTAAGAAGTATTTGGTGCAGCTGGTTGTTAAGGGCTTCTGAGAAATGCTTTTGCTTTTTGTTTTCTAGCAAAACCAAGCTTAGGCGGGGATTGAGTCATTGCCAGTAGCACTGCCACTTTGGGGGTCTACCTCTTTGTGACTTAGGAGTTGCTACTTGTGATACTATCTAGAAATCAGGTACCCAGGCAACCCCCATTTCTGTGTGACTGACTAGGAATTGAGGGTTCCATGACGGCGTTCAGTTTCACAGAACTCAAGAAAGTAGGTTTCTGGTTCACCATAAAGGATATATACCAGGAACATCCAGGTAGAAGGCTATGCAGAGGACAAGGTATAGGGTGGGGTGATGTTTGTGTGTCCTCTCTGGGTATGCCATTCTCCTGGCAGTTTAATGTGTTCACCAACCTGCAGGTTCCCCAGACTATGGTGTTAATTTTTTAATGGAGTTTCGTTATACGGACATGGTTAATTAAGCCACTGGTTGTGGTCATTGTGAATGGTTTCACCTCTTTTCCCTCTCTGGGGCTGAACGTTTGTAGGTTGGGTCCCCTGGCAGCCAGGCACCATTCTGACATTATGCCTAAGTTACTTTCCAGTGTGAATGCAGATGTGATCAGGAGGTATTCCTATCATTCAGGAATGTGTAAGGGCTTCAGGAACTCTGTGCCAGGTGCTCCAGACAAAGACCAACCAGATCATATAAACAGATAAGGAGTTTAGGTTTTGTTTTTGTTTTTTTTCCTTATCCCAGTTCACCCATTGATTTTAAACATTCACGTCTATCATATTCAAAATACATTTTTGTGCTATCCCAAGGTCTGCATCCTCTAAGTCTCATTAGCCAGAAGTTCCCCATCTAATCCTTTGAATTACCTAACTTATTCATGAAACTCTGGATGGGGATCCATCTCGGGACAAAGTTCCACTTTCTCTGGGACCTGTAAAACTAGAAAGTAAGTATCTTTTCTCAAGAACAGGAGGCAGAAAGTCACAGTTCATGAGGCAGTTTTAGGCATTTCTTTTTCCTTTCTTTTACACACAGCTGTAGGATGCTGTCTAAGGACTCTTGGCACTGCAGAGCAGAGACCGCCTTTCCTGCAGTCTCTAATAGCATGTTCTCATTTTCTTCCATTCGTCGCCAGCTGTGCTTTATGTGCGTGTTTCTACCAACAGTCTGTCTCAGGCACTATGCTTTTTTTTTTCTGTCATGGTTCTTACGGTTCTTCTAGCCTCTGCCAACAGACAGAGCTTTTTTCAGGTGTGTTTTACAGAAGCACTAATCAGATCTGTGTCATTTTGCTTTAGTTACAGTGACATACTACCAAAAACTTAAACAGCATACCTTTATTACCTTACAATTTTGAAGTTCAGCAGCCCATGAGGGATTGGCATGGGTGGTGCTTCCTTCTGGAGACTCTGTGACAGAATCAGTTTCTTTGCCTTGCCAGCTTTCAGCCCTTCTACTTTTCTTGGACTATATCCTCCTTTCTCCTGCTTCTAATTTTCTTGTGCTCCTTCTGTAAGGAGCCTTGTGGTGTATTGGTCTTCCATATAACTCAGGATAATTCTTCTATTTCAAGAGTATGGATTTGGGCTCCTCTGAAAAATTCTCTGTACCAGATAAGGTAATAATTATAGATTTTGGTAGTCAGGATGTGCACATATCTGGAAGCTGTTATTGCTTTCACTGTAGGAACTGCTGATCAGTAGTCTCAGCATTATACATTAAATAAGCATTTGAAATTCAGTATTAGGGAAGAGCACATATTTAGTTTAATTCTGTCTTAAAATTTAATACAGGAACCTGGATACAATTGGCGTTGCCGTTGATTTGGTTCTTCTCTTTCGTGAACTCCGAGTGGAACAAGACTCTTTGTTGACAGGTAATGTGAAGCATAATTAATGGGTTATTGCCTTGAAGACTGTTTAAAACTAATGCTCTGAGTCTTCAGTCATTTACTGAAGCACATGTTCTATAGGCCAAGAGATGTTAAAGAGTTACTGTGAAGGGTTGTTGCTGTGGCTTCCTTTTCGTCCTGTTGTGGGCTGGCTTGTCTCTTCCCAGTTTCTTATGTTGAGGCTTCTCTGAGTTTGTTTGGGCTGCTGTAGCAAAATACTTATATCATACTAGAGGATGGGAAGTCCAAGATCAGGGCTTTTGCATGTTTATTTTGTGGTAGGGACTTGCTCTATGGCTCAATGAAGGTGACTTCTTGCTGTGTCCTTACTCAGGAGAAGGGCAGAAGGAGGCAAAGGGACTCTTGACCTTTTCTAAGGAACACTAACTATAAGATGTAGTTACCCCTCAAAGCCCTCATCACTTGCTAGGAACACTTTGGAGATTTGATATCAGCAAATTTGATATGGATTTTAGAAAGACACAAAACATTCAAACCATAGCAAAATCCAAATCTTCAGTACTTAGAATAGGATTGTATTTGGAGTTGATTTTTTAGGAGGGAATTAAAGTACAGTGAAGAAATTTAGTGTCTTCTTAAAAAAAGGATAGTGGGACACATAGGTGAAGACCGTGTAAGACACAGGGAGCAGATGTCAGTCTGAAGTCAAAAAGAAAAGTATCAGTAGAAATCAGCACTGGCTGCACTTTAAGCATGACTTGCAGCCTCCAGAATGGTGGAAAGTGATTGTGGGAATCTGTCTGGTCTGTGGTTCTTTGCTATAGAAGCCTGTGATGCCTGGTCTACTGCCTTATGATCTTTACATATGGGACAGACACTGTGGCTTGATTATGAATGCCCCTCACAGGCGTCTGTGTTTGAGCACTTGGCCCTCTGCTAGTGGCACTTGTTTTGGGAGGGTGTGGAACATTTTGGACATGGACTCTAGCTGGTTGATAAAGCCATAGGAGCAGGGCTTATGAGTTACAGTCACCTCCAGTTCTACTTGACTTCTGCTTCCTGACTGCTCAGGCAATCAGTGTAACCAGTACAATTTCTGCTACTCTAGCCACAGGCTGCTCTGTCACCATGCTTTCCCCTCCATGGTGGACTGTATCATCTTAAACTGTGAGACAAAGTAAATCCTTTCTTTAAGTTGCTTCTCTTAGGTATTTTATCACAGTGAAGATAGAAGTAACTAACACTGATGTGATTCCAGCAGTGACTCTCTCCCCAAGTTGCTTACTTTTCAGTGAGAACAACCAGATGTTAAGTCTGTTAAGTTAGTCAGGTACCTCATGTGACAGAAAGGGAAGTTAGCTCTTCTGGTTAACAGCTGTTGATGTGGGATTAAGAGCAGTACTCAGCATCTTAGCTTGAAAAACTGGAAGGTTCTTAGACTGTTTTGAAAGCATTTAGGTTTTTGTATTAGTAGCATTAATGCTTCTCCTTTGTACAAAGATTATATTATCTTAACACATCATTAAATTAAATAATAGAGTTTTTATATATGATCTTCTTTCCAAGGAATTGAGACGTTATGAGTAAATATAAATTATTTGATATAATCTTAATGTAAGTATCCATGCTTATTATATACACTAGATTATAGGGTAAAGTAATTGTGATAATAAAGAACAGATTTGATGTATAAATATTTCTTAACCCCTGTTCTTATGTAACAGGAGGGATGCATATATTAATGCTGACACCTGACACCACCTCAGTGGGTAGGTAAGAGCTGGAGGCGAGGCTCTCCTCTTGCAGGCACAGACTTAAGTCAGTGTGCTAGTGTGCTGCAGGCACCGCTGGGTGTCGTTTAATTTTCGCTCTCTGTGATTTCTTAGTGCTTTCATTTTAGGTTGATTATACTACAATTTGGGGTCTTACTATTTGGTTTAGAAATCTTGTAAATCAATTAATTAAGTCAGTTACCTGGTGTGATGGAAAGTGGTGATTTCTTAAAGTTAACTATAGTGTCTGAGATTTTAAACAGCATCTTTGCTCCAAACTTTTCTGGGTGCTGTTTTTAAGAGGTTGGTGGGATGTAGAATTCAGTTGTAAAGTATTTTAAAGGTGTTTAGTATTAACAGTATTTTTGTAACTACTTTGTAATAAGTCCTTGGTGCTCAAGAGTTGGAGGATTAAAAACCAGTGACAAAGTAACAATTTTCATTGTGCTGCGTGGAAAAAAAAATCAGTGTTTGTAAAGTCTGTGAGGTATGTAATACTGCCACTGTTCAGATGCACTCCATCTTGTAATTGGAAGAAAAGAGTAAGTGTCAGGAGAAGTAGAGTTTTCTTCTAATGGTGTTTTCCTAATGAAGCATAGCAGAAGTGCTGGCAAATGCAGCATTGTGGAACTGTTAGCATGGAGCTAGCCCCTCCTCTTAAACTTTGGACACCAGCCCCACCCACCCACCCACATGGAGGATTTTCTCTTGTTGTTATCCCCTTTGTTCTCAGCGTCACATGGCTCTCCTGCCTTATCATAGTACATTCTTCTGCTTTCCGTCATAAAACTTCTTTCCTTGATTCTACATTTCTTTCTGTCTTTCTTGTGTTTTCCTAAATCTCCTGTGCAAGATTTTTGATTTTGCAATATATGATAAACGATTCTTCTTCATTGAAATGGATTTAACCTAACAAAAATAGAAAAGGGAAGATACCTAAAAATGCTATTATAACATAATTATGTGGTGAAGGAATGCATTGATTGATGTCAGAGAATAGATCCTTGTGACTATTTTTTTCCTTCCTTCCTTCCTTCCTTCCTTCCTTCCTTCCTTCCTTCCTTCCTTCCTTCCTTCATCTCTTTCTTTCCTTCTTTCTAATTTTGGTGGCATTGGGAATTGAACTTTGAGTTTTAGTATGGTAGGAAAACCTCCACCACTCAGCTATATTCTTAGCCTTAGGCTTGTTTTATAAAGGCTACATTAAGAATTGGTTATAATTTTGATAGCTTCAGTGCTATCAGTTTAATTAATTTTTTTTTCTGGTAGTGTTGGGTAAATGTGGTGCCTTGGGCATACTAGACAAGCATTTTATCGCTTAGTTATGTCTCCCAGCTCATTCACTTAGAATAAAACTGTCTCTTTCAAAGTGAGCAGTTGAAATAGCATTTAGAACAGTACAATATCGTGTAACCAACACTTGTATATAACTGAAAATACCTCCTTACACTGAAAGTTATAAAGGGAGCAGTTTTTTTCTCTTTCCTCCTCCCTATGTCAGGGGACCACAATTTTATGCCTATTTATATGGAGTTTATTTATTATTTGTTTATTTATTCTGAATATTTCATAAAAATGGGATTGTAGAACTACATGGCCCTTGGTATGATTCCTCTTACCTGTAATGTTTTTGAGGTTTAGCCACATTGTGGCATTCATCAGAACTTTGTTCTTTGGGATTGACTAGTACTGTATTGTATCCATTCATCAGTTGATGACCAGGGACTGTTCTCATCTTTTGGCCATCGTGAATGACACTATTAATGTGCACATGTATTTGTTTGAGTGCCTAGCATTAGAATTTGGGCTTGAGTACCACCATGTTAAACATTATTTTTTAAAAGATTCATTCTGTCTCTCTGTCTTTGTCTGTCTTTCTGTTGACTCTGTCGTCTGTCTGTCCTCTCTCTCTCTGTGTGTGTGTGTGTACATATTATATGTGGTTTCCTACAGAAGCCAGAGGAGGACTTTGGATCCCCTGGAGGTGGAATTACAGGTGATTCTGAGCTGCCTGACTTAGGTGCTGGGAACTGAATCTGATTTCTAATCCTCTACTAGAGCAGCAAACACTCCTAACTGCTTAGCCTTTTTTCTAGCTCCCATGTTTTGAGGAGCCTCTAAACTGTTTATCAAGAAAGTGGAGCCATTTTCATTCATTCAACAATGTGTTCCAGTTCCTTCACATCCTTACTGACGCTTTGTTTTTTTGGGTTATAGGCATCCAGGTGGGTGTGAAGTAATGTGTGAGTTTTATTTACATTTCCCAAATGACTAATGATGTATATACACATTGTGCATTGGGCGTTTATAAATTTCTGGAGAAATGTTTGTTTGAATCCTTTGCTCAGTTTCTTTTCTTTTTCTGTTTATTGTGGTTGGTTTTTTGTTTTTTTTTTTTAAGATGTATTTATTTATTATGTATACAATGCTCTGTCTGCAGGTACACCTGCACACCAGAAGGTGGCATCAGATCTCATTATAGATGGTTGTGAACCACCATGTGGTTGCTGGGAATTGAACTCAGGACTTCTGGAAGAGCAAGCAGTGCTCTTAACCTCTGAGCCATCTCTCTTGCCCTGTGGTTGTTTTTTTGTTGAATTGTAATATATTGTAGAGACTAGAAATAATGATAACTCTGCAGAAGAGTTTGGGAAGAGTTGCCATCTTGACAATATTGGGTCCTCTAGTCCATGAAATGGGAGCATTTTCTAATTACAAATTTTCAGCTATGTCTATTTTAAGTAGTTGACCTGTATTCTGTGGCAGAATTGGAAGAGAAGCAAGGAGGAAAAGGAAAATTAGTGGTATTTCTTACCACCTTCTAGGAAAGGACTGATAGGAAAGCCTCTGGTTTTTATTTGGAATTCAACAGTGACATTTGCATTTAATAGACTCAGAAGTTATTGTCATAGTACCTTAGTTCAAAACCAATGGATAGAATTGTAAGAAGTATTTTGATTTCACTATTTGTTAATACTTTCTCTGAGAACCTTATTTTAGGGAGATTTTTTTTTGTCAGGGTGACTGTGCCAGTGTTTTGTTACTGCTTCTGAGGTAAGAACTGTAATTATATTGTCAAAATAATATTTAGAGTATTATTTTCAGGCAATAATTGCAGTGGTCTGACAAATATATTATGGTCATCAAATTTTATGTAAACACAAGTATGAGTTATTTTAATTGAGCTATTGATGTTGTTTTTGGCATATATTCTTTCCTAATCTGTAAAAATAATGCTGGCATTTTTTAGGGGCTTTGCACTATTCTTAATGTTTACATAAAGATCAGTTGATAAGCTGTTTGCTAAAGTAAACTGTTATTTTACTTGCCTTTAGCTTGTGCCTAGCCCATCTGTAAGTCTTTGCTTTTCCAGAATTATTGTGTTTTGGATTTTCAGAGGTTTTTGCTGTTGTTTTTGTTTTGGCTGAGGAACAGTTGGGCTGCTTGGCTCTCAGGCCGGGATATCTCTTTCACTCTTTTTGCATGTTAAATTTGAGTGTTAATTTTCTGAAGTATTTAGTAAAATTATTAGTAACTTTTAAAATATGGCTTATTTGGAAAAAGATGAGTACTTTTATGTCATAACCGTTCAATAAGCATTTATAATAGACTAATTTTTAAAAATTCAGAAAAGTAGACAGAAAATACAATTTTCTGAGCAGGCTGCGAGAAACACTTGAATTTTAGTTTTGGTGTTCTTGTGTCATTTGATTTGTATACTTTTAAGAATTGTATGTTTAGCCGGGTGTGGAGGCACATACCTTTAATTCCAGCACTTGGTAGGCAGAGGCAGGTGGATCTCTGTGAGTTCAAGGCCAGCCTGGTCTACAAAGAGTCCAGGACAGCCAAGGCTACACAGAGAAACCCTGTCTTGAAAAACCAAATAGGCTTTTGGGTTCCTATACCCTAACCTCTTCCATGTGCTCCTCCAGTTCTAGGAGCGTACCTGGTTCCTGCAGCTCACCCTGTGTGCCGCCTCAGTGTTGCTTCTCCTGTTAATCCTTTATATTACATTTTCCTGTTTAAAAAATCACTGAATTGCTTTCTGTTTACTGCTCTCTGACGCCGCTTGTCTTGTCCTTACTAGTTTCTCCCTACCTTCTCTTTGTCTCTTCCATCCACTCATTCTGCTAGCAAGGGTACAAGAGGAGAAAACAGTCACTGCATAATTTAAATAGAAATAGTTTTTGTGCATCTATGTGTGAGCGAGGTTTTTCTGTGCAGCCCAAACTGATGTTGAACTTGCTAGTCTTTTGCCTCTACTTCTGGGTGCTGGCCTTCACCATTATCCTCAGCTGGGTAGTAAGATTTAATGTAAAGAGTTGCTGTTACAAAGGTTTAAATTAATGGCATTGACTGGTAAGAAGCAAAGAGAACTCTGAGTCAGGAATCGTGGATGCATGGAGTTTCTAACCCCAGGACTGAGGTCAGCCTCCCTAACCTCATCTGCAGGCTGAGATCCTTGGGGATACTGCACTTGTGGCATTGGGTGGTTGAGTAAATGCTGAAATGTACTGTTGATGGGCATGATGGAAACCCACCCTTTGCTGCAAGGGGACTTCACCATGAAGCTTGCTAAGGAAGTATTTATAGAATTATTAGTTTATTTTAAAAGTATGTCTTATCTGGAAAAAGGTTTGTACTTTTATGTCATAACCATTCAATAAGCACTTATTATAGACTAATTTTTAAGGACTCAGAAGTAGACAGAGAAAATAATAAAATTCTATAAACAGGCTGTGATAAGCACTTGAATTTTAATTTTCTTTTTTCAGTGTTTGTGTCTGTTGGTATTAACCTGCGTTTTGTGTCCCTTTAAATTATATTAATGTCTTTAGTTTTGGGATTCTGGCTGCTAACATTGCTGATGCCATGCTTTGTGGGAGCTGGGCCTGGAGAAACTGTTGTCCAGAGCAGAGCAGAGGATGGTGTCTTCTAGGAGTAAGTCGTAGTGACAATGCTGGCAGAAGAAATGTCTTGAGAGTCCCCCCTTATTTTTACAGACCAGACATTGAAGTTTTGTTTAGAGATGGGAGGCAAAAATCAAGAACTCGTGCCCACTCAAGTCTGATTAAAATTTTTATTTATTATGATTTATTTACTTTGTATCCCAGCTGTAGCTCCCTCCTTTGTCCCCTCCCAGTCCCACCCTCCTTCCCTCTTCTCCTCCTATACCCCTTCCCCAGTCCATAAAAGATCTTCTGGAGGTATCTCCATCCCTGATCTCAAGCTGTACTATAGAGCAACAGTAATAAAAACTGCATGGTACTGGCATAGAAACAGACTGTTGGATCAGTGGAATCGAATAGAAGACCCAGAAATAAACCCACACACTTACGGACACCTGATTTTTGACAGAGATACCAAAACCATACAATGGAAAAAAGATAGCATCTTCAACAAATGGTGCTGTTCTAACTGGATATCTACACATAGAAAAATGCAAATAGACCCATATTTATCACCCTACATAAAACTAAAGTCCAAGTGGATCAAAGACCTCAACACTCAAGTCTGTTTTAACAGTGTATTATTGTTAACAGCTCATGGTTTCTTTAAGTTTCCAGCAAATATGTATGTCCTCCAGTTTGAGTAATGACACATGAATGTGTATTTGTGTGGACTTTCCCACTTGGGTCTAGAATGACAGTTACATGCAATCTCTGTATAGAAACCGAGTCATATAACTCTGGACCTGCTTAGTTCCACGTTAGCGCTTTTGTCTTGTCTTGTAGTTTCTTTCATGGTATCGGGTGTATCACTGTCACTTGTATCTTGTCACTTGTTTATGTGTGTGACTGTTTTGCCTATGTGTATCTGTGAGTACCATGTGGAGGTTAGAAGAGGATGTCCAAGGCACCGCACAGATGGCTGTGAGCTGCTATGAGGGTGCTCATACCTGCTGAGCCTTCTCTCCAGCCCCGTATATTGCCACTTTTATAAATGACTTTCTTGTCCTATTTTCATGTCATCCTCCCGCTCTTACTGGAAATTGAGATCTGAGCCCAGAGTCTTGTACATGTTAGGAAGATTATCACTGTATCCCTTAGCCCAGTGTCCTTATGCTTGATTGTTTTCTGCATGTAGAACTATGTTTTTTTTTTAATACTGACTTTGATGAAGCAATTTTATAAACTCTTTAAAATTTGTAAACTTTATTATAAAAAAAACCCTGCACATAAATAAATAAGCATTCAAGAATGCAGACAACTGCATATTTAAAATAATCTACATACATTAACATTTCATCAGTAGTGTGGGATATGATAATTTGATTTGTTCGTTTTTAGCCCTTGGGTCTTTTGTCTTGATGGCAGTGGTATTTTTGTACTTTGTTAATTATAAATGATGATCCCAAATGCCTCAGACTTTTTTTTTTTTTCAAAAGGAATATTTGTCATTATGCCTGGCCATTAATTTTAATGTGTGCTGCAGACTTTTTGTTTATACCCAGCTTTAGGCTAAATAAGCCCCTGAATGGAGGACATACTTGATAGTTTGTATTTTCTGCCTTAGTTGTATATACATCACTTTCATTTATAGTTTGTTAATGGTATCATTGTGACTTTTTTGTGCTTCGTTTGTAAGAAATTAGCAAACTGTTTTCCAAGGTGACTGTACCATGCTTCATTCTTGCCTCAGTAATTAAGTGTGTGTTCCACTGTATTCCCTGGCATTTGGTGCTGTCTCTTTTTTGAACCTTTGGCCGGTGTTTTGCTGTTTTATATTCTAGGTATCAGTTAGTTTTTTTTTTTTTCTTCAGTTCTTTGAGATATATTGTTTTTTTTTTTTTGTCTGCTTCTAGAATTTTTTGAGAAAAGGTATCTTAAAACTATTCAAATTATTAATAGGTCTCACTGTGCTCAGTTTTTCTTTATGTTTGAGAGTGTATTACTAGATGAGTTACAATTTAAAAACTTTACGTGTTTTTGATAATGTAGTATGAAATGATTATTTAACATTTCCAGTAATGTCTTTTGCAGTAATGTTTGCTATATCTAATTTTAAGTAGTCTACTTCTCCTTTTTTGATTGATATTTGATCTGTCTCCTTTTTGCTTTCTTTAACTTGTAGTATTTCTATAACCTTATGTTCTAGGTATGTTTGTTTTAAACAACTTGTAGCATTTTAACAATTCATTCTTAAGTATAGCTGTGTTTTGTTTTGTGACAGGGTTTTATTGGACTGATTTTGGCCTGTCTTTTGTTAGCATGATCCTCCTGTCTCAGAAGTGCCTTGATTACAGACATGTGCAGACATACCTAATTTGTAGTTATCTTTTATTTGTAGCATTATTCTAATGATATTTCTTGTAATTATATTTGAGTTTATAACCTTTGAGAAGTTAATTTTATATAGTGTTGTTTTGGTGATTTCATTATAGAGTGAGACTCTTAGATAATCAATCAATCAATCAATCAATCAATCAATCAATTTCTCTCTTCCCCCCTCCTATTTCTTTTTATCCCCTTCCTTCTTTTCTCCTTCCCCTTCCTCTCTCCCTTTCTTCCTTTCTCCCTCTCTCTCTTCCTCCTTTCCTCTCTTCCTCCTTCCTTCTCTTGTTCTCACTTCCCTATTTAATTTACATGGGAAATATTTCTTACTAAGATGCATTTATTCATTGTGTTGAATCTGTTATCTTAAAGTTTTACATTTCTATATTCCTAGCTTTTCGCTGTGGCTTACAGTTTTTAGGCAACATTGCCTCACGGAATGAAGAATCCCAATCCATTGTTTGGGCCCATGCCTTCCCAGAACTCTTCATGTGAGTATGATGTTGAATTTTTTTTTTTTCCGGATGTGGTGTCACATACCTGTAATCCTAGCACTCAGGGAGGCAGAGGCAGGTGGAACTCTGTGAGTTTGAGGCTAGCCTGGTCTACAAAGTGAGTGCGGGACAGCCAAGGCTACACAAGAGAAACCCTGTCTTGAAAAACCAATTTAAAAAAAAAGATTTTTTTCTTCTGTTTCCTAAAAAGATTGTGGTTATAATTCCATTTTTATGAAATCCAAAAGCAGGAAAAATAAGACTATAGTTATAGAATTCAGGATAGCACATAATTGTGTGTGTTTAGTAGGTAGGTATTAGCTAGGAGAGGTTATGAAGGAGACTACTGGACCCTTCCTGTACCTTGGTTTGTGTGGTGGTTCCTTGATACACATATCTGATATTCATTGAGCTTTTACAAAGATTTGTGGCCCTTGGGAACATGCTGCCATATTTTTAAGAAAGAAAAGTCATGGTAATAATAGTAACTTCATTAAGAACCTTGAAATTTATAAAGAACCCCAGTCCCTATAAACATAAGACATTAAGTATGGGCAGTGAGTTAATCCTTTTTTTTTTTTTTTTTTTTTTTTTTTTTTTTTTTTCATTCATTGCCCAATATCATTTTTGCTAAATAATGGAGAATTATAAGATTTGGTTAACAGACGTGCTTATCAGTGTGAGGTGACTTCATTATGAAAAGTGGGGATAGCTATTCTATTGTACATTCTGAGAAATGTATATCTGTCTGTCATTATGAGAAGAGGGTAATTCAGTTCCTTTTCCGTGTTAGGAGACAGATACAGAACTTATTTATTAATATAAGATGTGGTTGGCCAGTCTGATGGCTGCTGTAACCAGTCTGGTTACTTACGGTGGGTGTTGAATTGACTCATGTTATGTATTACTTTAAAAAATAAGCTCTATTAATTTGTAAATAGTTGAGCATCACATTAAAATGTATATTGGTGACAGAAATGGGTAGGCAATAGAAAGAAACTGTAGTGGTCGTGGAGGCTAAGCTTAGCGTAGACTATCAGTGTGGGCCGCAGAACAGCAGCTATTACGGAAGTGCCTTGAGTTGGGCGTGTATTATCTCTGTCCTTACAAGTTCTGTAGATAAATGGAACTGATCCTGTTTGGATAGGCGAGGGACCTGCAGATGGTCAGTGGCAACGGGTATAGCTGCAGTGTGAAGCCAGTGTTGCTGTCTAGATCCACACCATGTGTACTGCGGTGTAAGGCCCGTGCTGCTCTCTCTAGTTGTGTTTGTTTTCTGGGCTTGTATGTAAGTTATGGTTGTTAGATGAACTCTTCGTTCTAGCTCAGAGCACATTTCTCAAATGCCTGAAGTGTGTGTATATATCTGTTACCTTTATGTTTAGTAACAGTTGATTGTGGATGAAAGGAAAGAATGAAACTCAAGCTACGTAAATACACAGTAATTACATGTTGTTTTTTTTTTTTAACGTTTACTATTTATTGTGTGCATGTGCATGTGTTTCATGTGTTTGTGTTATGCCAGTTAGGTAGAGGCCAGAGACGATTTTCAGGAGACAGTTCTCTCTTTCATTTCTACATGGGTTCTGGAGATTGAATTCAGGTCATCAAAGCACCCCCTGGCTGAGTGATCTCATCGACCTACATCACTAATTTTTATTGTTTTTTTTCTTTAAAGACAGGATCTCACTTTGTACCTCTGGCTGCCTGGCCTTGAATTTGATATGTTGACCAGGCTAGGCCAGCTGCCTCTGCCTCTTGAGTACTGCCATTAATAGTGTGCCTGAGTTGTGAAGTTTAGGTGGGGACAAAAAACAAATTCTAGGATGAGCCATGACATAACTGACAATAAGTAAATGACCTCACTAAGTTCTTGTAGCTGATAGGATTTAGGAATTGTGTTACGACTCTTGTCCCCACGTTCTTCTGTTTGGATATCTGTCCTTTATGACTAGGATAGGGATGCTGATAGTCTTTTTACATTTTTTTGGTCTGTTTGTTCTTTCTAACAAAAATAAACACCTCTAATACTTTATAAATGTCATCATTTTATTTTTTTCCTCTAGTCAAATGTCATTTTCTTTTCAATTCTGAGTCCTAAGTTAAATGTAACTTTTTATTGTCTTTTTTGAGGTTTATTTTTATTTGTAAATATACATACATACACACACCACAACCACCCCCACCCCCACATATATGCATACAAGTCGTTGTGGGGGATTGTTGCTCTCAGACAAGACTGTTGGGTCCCTTAGAGCCAGAGTTATGGACAGTTGTGAGCCTCCAGGGGTGGGTGCTAGGAACCTTGGATTTTTTGCAAGAATGATTTGTGCTTTTAGTTACTGAGCCAGTCTCATTTTATTGTATCTTAACATTAAATTTACTGTTTTTATAGTTAAGGATATACTTTGTTTCACAGCATATAAACCTTTATTATATCCCCCAAATACCAATATATACAGAATTGGCTAGTGTTAATTACAGTCATAAGTTACCATGTTGATAATTGGACTAAGAGCCTCATTTCTTTTTTTGGCAGGTCTTGCTTAAATCATCCAGACAAAAAGATTGTTGCCTACTGTTCAATGATTTTATTCACATCTCTTAATCATGAAAGAATGAAAGACCTGGAAGAAAACCTCAATATTGCGATTAATGTCATAGAAGCTCACCAAAAGCATCCAGAGTCAGAATGGCCGTAAGTATCATTAAAAATATCATTGCTCGAGGACATCCTCATAGATCATTTTTCTTATGAGGTTTTAGAAATATACCAAGACAGTGTTTGCTGTGTTCTCTAGGCTGACCTTGGAGTTTCCGTCCTGTCTCAGCCTCTTAGTAGCTGAGATTATCATTTCCACATCTGGCTCAGTCCAATTACTAACTTATTTATTTACTTTGTGTGCTTCAGAGGAACTGAGTTCATGTAGACAAGTGCTTTCCCACTGAGCTACAATCTCATCCCTTTTGTAGAAGTTTTAGTAAAAAGTTGAGTTATGAAGTTGTTTTGAGGTTGTAGAAGAGGGAAAGCCTGGGCTTGGCCTTGAATATAGGTGATTCTTTAAGGTGGTAAGTGGGGAGGTCAGTGTTAGCATGTGAGTGAACTTAGTGCAAATGTCACAGCCTCTTTGGCGCCTACTGTGACCTCAGCAGATGGTTCATTAAAGATCAGAAGTTGGTGTGTGTCTTGTGGGCATTGTGTAGATGAAATACTTGTTCACACATTATCTCTCCAAACAGAATGTCTGATTTCTGTATGGTTGCTTTGAGCTTTTTTTCTTTTTTCTTTTTTTTTTTTTTTTAGGAATTAATGTAATATTGGCATAGATTTTTTGGAACTTGTTCTTTTTGGGATCTCCTCAAGTTCTTGAGTCTACAGGTGTGCTGTTTTGTTTTATTAGCTTGACACAAATATAGTTATACTTGGAAAGAGGAACTCTCACCTAAGGAGAGCCTTAGGTGGGCCCATCCACACGGCATTTTCTTGATTGCTAATTGATGAAGACAAGGGCCCAGTCCCCTGTTGGCGGAGCTATCCTGGGCAGGTGGGCCTGGACTGTATAAGAAAGGTAGTTAGAGAAAGCCAGGGGAAACAAGCTAGCAAGTAGTGTTCCTCTGTGTTCTCTGGTCTAGTTCCTGCCTCAAGCTACTGGCCTGGCTTCCTTTGTTGATGGACTATCACCTGTGAGCTACATAAATGCCTTCCTGCTCCAAGTTACTTTTGGTAACAGCACCAGAAAGCAAACAAGGATAGTGGGTGTTTGTCTTTCTTGAACTTCTGGTAAGTTTTCAGAAGTATCTGCTGGAATAACTTTTTTTAATCTTGTGTTCTTTGACCTATCTTTTAGGATTCAATATCAGAAATACACAGGTCAAGGTGGTGGTCTGTTTTTCTACCAGCCCCCTTGTAGCTTTAGATAGTTTGTTACTTATAGGTAAAAGCTGCTTTTATATTGTGTGAGAGAGTTGTACAGAAAGGACCCTAAAATACCCCTTTAGAATCTGTCTCACAGTAGCCTGCTTCAGGGAAGAGCCTCTCATCTTCTCTTTTTGTAGAACCATCACAAGGCATCAGCTAGACTCAGATGAGCTGCTGTTCAAAGTGCTGGCCTTTGTGGCCTACGTGGGAGGATACAGACAGTCCAAGTGCTATGGTGGAGCAGTCTCCTTATACTGAATGAGTGTGTTCAGGAGTCAGCCTTGGCTGGTATCTTTAGGATGTGTCACCTTGCTGTCTGAGAGTTCCCCACTGGGATGTGGGACTCACCAATTAGACTAGGCAGGCTGGCCACCAGGCCTAGGGAATCTCCCTTGTTTTTGCCTTTCCAGTGCTGGGATTACAAGTGTACACTTCTCACACTTTTTAATTATCTATTTATTTACGTTTCACATACCTTTTCCTGGGTGTTAGGGATTGAACTCAGTTGAACTTGGCTTGCAAGTGCTTTTCTCACTGAAGATCTCAGCCAGCTTTCCTGTGCTCTGCGGATACAAATGCTGATGTTTTATTGTTCCTCAGGACTGAACCTCTGGTCAGTTTTTGGTTTTGTTTTGTTTTTAATTCTTTCATTAGTTTAATTTCTGTGACTGCAGGCTTTTCCACCTGCCCCAGTTCCTGAAATAACGATGTTGTGACTTTATTATTTGTGAATAAATAAATGCCTGTGCCATAAGCTTTGGTTTGTTCTTCAACTAGCTCATAACTGATTTTACCCATTTATTCTATCCTATATGTGCCACATGGCTGGTGACCTCTCCTCAGTTTTATATGTCCGTCTTCCTTAGAATCCAGGGTGAATCTCCCCTCTGACTATCCCAGAGTTCATCTCTTTCTGCCAGAACTCCCACCTTCAGTTTCCTGCCTCAGCTAATAGGCTGTCAACTTTTTATTGACAGGCGATGTTTCTACACAGTACACAAGAGATTCTCACCACAAATTTCCCTTTTAATGCCAGTGTTGATTTAATGCCAGTGTATTTTTAATGCCATGGTCTTGATTAACAAATATTAAAATTTGAAAATGTGAGGCCGCCTATGTCTTTATCAAGATTTATGTGTGTGGTAGGGAAAGGAGGCTACTTTAGATCTCTTCCATTTCTAGGTTAATATTAGGCCCATCATTTCAGCTTTAAAAACAGGAAGAATTTTTCATGAATCTGTAGGTCTTTTTTACAGAAATGTATTATTGTATTAGGGTGGGGGATGGGCAGCTGCCATGACACATTGTGGAGGTTAGAGGGCAAATGTTGTGGATTAGGTTTCTCCTACCTTTTTTGTGGGCTACAGGGATTGAACTCAGGTTGTCAGGCTTTCTCAGGAAGAGCCTTTACCTGCTGAGCCACCTTACTGACCCTTCAGTTTCACTTGTTGTGTAACCTTCGTTGTAGCATTCCTGCTACTTGATTTGGGTTTTGTCTTTTTGTTACTTATTAAGATGAAAAGCTAGATTGTTGGCATAGGGTCTAAGCATTTATATCCATCGGTTTCCTTGTGAGAACTGTTTTAGTAGTCTGAACATTGCTGTGTTGTGCTTTCACTTTGATTCATTTCAAGTTGAATCTATTGGTTATTTAGGAATTTGATTTTTATGTATTTGGGCATTTCCTAAATTCCATCTTGTTATTGATTTTTAATTTTATTCCACTTTGGGTGAATACCATGTGTTTGATTTCATTTTTTTAAAAATTATTGAGGTTGTTTACCATCATGAAGAATGTTCTGTATGCACTTAAGATGAGTGTGTGCTGCTGGGTTTGCTAGAGTGTTCCAGGAATCCAGTTTCTTTCTTTTGAAGCAGGGACTTGTCATGTATTCCTAGCTGCCCTTGAACTAATAACTCTTTGCCTCAGCCTCTCAGGTGCTGAGGCTACAGGCGTGCCACCAAGCCAGTCTCCTTCAGTTCTTTCAGGCTGCTTTCTTTCTTTTCAGTCTCTGTTAAGTATATGTAGTGTCTGTGTGTACAGTTGTTATGTCAGTATGTAGTATTTACATTTACAAGTATTACATTATCTCCTAACTGATTGACCTGGTTTTCATTGTAAAACTCATGAAAATTTTGTTGTTTACATTTTTTTCACAGTTTAGTAATTTTTTTTCCTATCAATCGAAGTATCTTTGTGAATTTATTCCTCGCAGTGGACAGTGTGGTCAGGACCCAGGTGGTCTTCTGGTATTTGAGCCTCTTAAATGAAATATTATTATGTTGAAGTTCTATCTAAGTTTAGAAGTATTTACTTCTCTGAATATCATTTGTATTTGAATTACCATATGCAAATAGCTGTTGTTACATGAAAATCTTACACATTTAACTTTGAAAACACCCCTCAATATGTGCACATAGCATTTGCAGTCACCGAGGAGGAGTCCTGTGTCAGCTTACTTTGGGCCAGCCAGCTTGTAGCGGGGCTCTGTTTTATTTGGTAGCCCTTGATAGGTACCTGGGGTCTGTATCTTATCATCTTGGAATAAAAATCCAAGCTCATAAAAGGCAAGTACAAAATCGACTTTAGGGACCCTGGAAGCTGCCAGCAGTCACCAGGTGGAGGTAGGGCAGGGGCAGAAGGGGCAGGTAGTCCTCAGCTGGTAAATTGGGCAGCTCACATGCTGAATTTGGCTGTGAACTGTTCAGAGGCCTCTAAAAATTGATTTACTATTAAATCTGAACTGATTGCTGAAAACCAGAGAAGATCCCCTTTCTGCCCTTTCCTTTGCTTCGACATGCAGATGGCTGATAAAGAGCACCAGCTACATGAAGATTTATTATCTTCTCAGTTTTTCCTCATTCTTAAAAAGGGAAGGATGTATGACTATAATAATAGCTTCAGATCTTTCTGTTTGGATAGACTGGAGTAGCATAAAAATGTAGACAAGAAAGTCTTTGGCATTGCATTTGGGTTGAGTAGTTGGATAATCTCTTTTTCTATAATTTTTTTGTATGGTTTTGTTTTTAATTTTTAATAAATTTAATTTTTCATAGTATAAAAAATCTTGTAAAGAAAAACCATCAGATACCAAAATTAACCACACCTCCCCCCTGTCCCAAATTATACATCTTAATGAACTTCTAGAATAGCCATTTAGAATAGCCATTCTGAAACTATGGAGTTTCACATTGGAATTTACATGTTCACCTTTGGGTATATTTTAATCCACTTAACCCCCTCCCAAGCTCCAAATATCCATGCTATAATTAGAACTAGAAAAACACTTAGCTTTTTAAAATCCTCTCATAACATGTGTTCACCACCTACATTCACCCCTTCATTTCCTAATATTTATCCTTTCTTGTTGTCTTTTCTATGTATTATATTGTACCCACATGTGCATTTGTTTACATATATGTTATGGCAAGAGTCTGCATCTGAGAGAAAAATGTGTCTTTTTCCTTTCTGAGATTGTGTGACCTTGAGTAATTCTAAGTCCATCCATTTTCCTGCAATTTTTATTACATTTTCTTTAGAGTTGAATAGTATTTGTGTATGTGTGTGTTTGTGTGTGTATGCATGTATGTTTTTAATATTCATTATCCATTTATCAGTAGATGACTAGGTTGATTCCAGTCTTTTGCTATAGTGAATAAAGCAGCAATAAACATGGGGTGCAAATATTTCTATGGCAGGGTATGGAGTTTACTGGCTCTATGTCCAGGAGTAAAATAGCTGGATCGTTTGGTAGTTGTAGCTCTTTTTCTGCTACTTGGGGAGTAATTTTGGAAGTAAAACTTCTAGCTTTTTGTACAGTACTTGGAATATTGTGTTTTTTTGGGTAGGGTGTGTCATTGGAGGATAGTCTTGCTGTGTTGTCTAGGCTGACCTTGAACTTGGCAGTCTCTCTGCATATGCCTCTCTATGCTAGGAACTTAGGGACACACTACCATACTTGATTGAATATTGCTTTTTTAACAGATGCTCCCACAAGAAAAGTTTTGATTTCCAAGTAGCCAAATTATGTATGAATAGGCTTTAGGATTACAGAATTCCAGTTTTATCTGTGAACCTAGCTTAGAATGCTTGAATTCCTCTTACTTCATTTGATAACCTGCCTAAACTAATATGGGTACTATTGACATTCATTATTGTTAGAAATAGTTAGATCTGAGTAGTGATTGACAATATTAAAGATCTGTAGGAGAGATAAATACTTGTTTGATTTTATGTTTAAATACAGGGCAGTGTGGTGGTCATTGATGTGTGACATTCGACTATCATTCTTGACACATTTTGTTAGTGAGAAAGCAAATTGTTAGTGAATTTACTACTTTATAGCCAACTTTTATTAGTATAACAGTATTTATAAACATTGTATTTCTTAGTTCTTAAGTCTTACTGATACCTGTTGTTAGGTACAATTGAGAACTATTAATGCTATTCAATCTTTTCAGATGCCAAAGATGTACTTTGAAGAAATATGCTCATAATCTTTGCCTCAGGCTTCTATAGTCATCTCTCTAGTCCAGATGAACACAGTGCTTGACAATGCAGATATTTTCTTGGTAACTTGAGTACTCTTAAGGAGTGGAGAGTCAAGCCAGGATTCATCACCGCATTGTTGGCATATCTTTGAATAACAATATGACACGGTCGTTTTTTTTTTTTCTCCTCATCTTATAGTGGACTAAAACAGTGTTAGTTCTTGTCTAGATCTGACATTGTAACTATTTCATGTCCCTGTTCACAGCTCACAGCTCACAGAAAAACTGTAGTCTTTTATTTATTAGAGCTGCTTTTCTAATTGAAACAATTGAGTTATTTTCACATGGAAAATTGTAGAAAAGAATATTTCAAGCCCCCCCCCCCCCCCCCCCCATGCTAAGGAAGAGGACATAGAAGAAGAAGAAAAAAAAATTATGAACCTCCTAAAACATAAAAGATCACAGTAAACTTGGGACTGGAAAAATGTTAAAAGCACTTGAGAACCCAGATTTTATTCCTAGCATCCACATGATGCCTCACTCCAGTCTGCAACCCTAGTTCAGAGAATCTGTCACCTTCTTCTGGTTTCTGTGGTTTGTATACATGTGGTGCACATACATACTACATATACACTACATGCACGTGTACACATATAGACAAAGCAACTATATACATACATAAATATTTTAAAAAGATTGTAGTAAAAAAAGTTTACTAAAAATGACAGGTTTGTCTTTTGTTCAAGATGTATCTATAAAGTGGGTAAGGACATGGATGTTTTATTGTGTGTGCTGACCTAATTTCCTTCTTTTCCCCTGTAGGTTCTTGATTATTACAGATCACTTTCTGAAAAGCCCAGAATTGGTAGAAGCCATGTATGCCAAACTCAGCGATCAGGAAAGGTAACCCCCAGACCAGTTGGTTTTGACCCTTTAGCAGTCCAAATAGTGTTCTGTAGCCTGGACTGAGTGCTGTGTGGTTTCTCATTGCCACAGACCTGAATAGTATCATAGAATTCAGTTTGATGCTATTATTTAGTAAAATCATGCTAAAGAAATAAAAATAAAACTTTTAAGAACAAAATGTTACAATTCTTCAGTTTTATAACAACAGTTAATTTAAGTATGCACTATAGTTGTATGTTTAGGATGTGCTTATTTGTTCATATCACTAGTTTGATTATTTAGAGTGTATATTGCCTGGTTTGTAGTTTTCTGCTAGATAATTTACGCAAAATAGTGTACCTTTGTTATAGAGGAAGAGCGTTTACTGGGCCTGTTCACAACTCAAGCTGGTAGGTAGGAGAGTGTAATCCAGGTGGGGTGCCTCCTAACCCTGGGAGTGCCGAGTCCTTTTTGGTGTCTGACTTTAGCCATTGAGTGAAGGGCTGCTGTGTGTCCATGCTGATGTGGAGAGGTCCATGTTGGGGAGGAGGGACTGTGGGCTTTTGGGTTCTGGGTGAAGTGCAAGCTTGGTCCCCTTCCCTCCTTCTAAGGAAGACGGAGTATACTCTTTGTTCAGAAGTGTTCTTTGGCAGGTCAGTAGGACTGAAACAAGCAAGAGCTTTTTTCAGTGGCTTTCTTTACAAGTGAAATATCCCCTTGTGAATGGAGAATCCTTTGGAGAAGCAGTGTGACAGTGTGCTACTCAGAATGTCCCCAAGCTGTGCGATTCAGAGGAGTAGCCACACTTGAGAGCATGCGAAGGACCTCTGCTATCATGGGTTGGGAGAGGGACATAGGAGAAGAAGAAGGAGGAAAGGTGGTTTGGGAGGGGATGGGGAAAGGGGCTACAGCTGGGATACAAAGTGAATAAACTGTAATTGGTAAAAGAAAAAATAAAGAATCCTTTGGGGTGTCAGGCTGTTGTCTCCAGCTGCCTGCATTAGAATATCTGATTGGGTCAGGGGCTGTCTACATTTTAAAATATGTTTACAGATTAGTTAATAAAACAAGTACTGTACTAAGCATCTGGTGGTGGTTCCTGGGGCATATTGGTGAACAGTGCTCACACTCCCTGCTCAGTGTGGTGTGGGCAATAACTGTGTTTTCTGTGAATGTATGAGGATGCTCTCTTCCTGTGCTCATTCTTTTCATTGTTAGGGTTCTGACTCCTTTACCTAGGGGCCAGCAGTCTATTTGGGAACAGATTTTTTTATATTTATTTATTATTTATATAGTATTCTGCCTGCACGCAAGAGGGCACCAGATCTCATTATAGATGGTTTTGAACCACCATGTGGTTGTTGGGAATTGAACTCAGGACCTTTGGAAGAAGAGCCAGTGTTCTTAACCTCTGAGCCATCTCTCCAGCCTGGGAACAGATTTGTTTTGTGAGGGAATTTTAGATACACACAAAATCAGTTTGTTTGGTATGATTCAGTAATATTGAGAGCCAATATTGTGTACTTTCTGGTCCCCATTCTTGCTGAGCCAGTGTAGTTGTTAGCAGGTGGAAAGGCTGCTCTTCAGAGGTAGTATGTACTGTGCTCGGGTTGTAATATGTATATAGCACAGGGACAAAGGACAGCTGCTGTTGGTGGCTCAGTCATTTAACCTTTCTAGAGCTCTGCCTCATCTCATCTATGCAAAGAGACAGTAATAGTGGTCATTTGGTGGAATTATTGTGATAGCTGCCTAAGATCATGCATCAAGGAGTCAGTGTTTGCATAGCTAGCAGTCAGTAAATGTGAGGGTGTGCCCCTTTCCAGGTCTCGCACTGTGTTGCCTAAGCTGGTCTCAGACTGCCTTGGCCTCTCTAAAGCTGGCATTAGAGACTAAGATTGCAAAATGTGTGCCACCGTGCTCAACTATGAATAGTTGTTTCTGCTTGTAGCTCTGGTTTTTCTCAATGTATCTCTGGAAAGCAGTGATAAAACAAACACTGTGGAAATACAAAGGCAAATACTTGATGGAGCAATGATTTGATCTGACTCCCAGTTTTAGAGGTTTGAGGCTGTAGTCTAGCTTCTGGGCCAGTGTGAGGTACTGCTCCATGATTGGAAGCATCTGGGGCACAAAGTGGCTTCCTTCCTGGTGGGCTGGAGGAAGGAATGGAGGATCATGTGTAACCTTCAAAGGCATGTCTTCACTGATCTGAGCTAGGCCCGCCTCTTACTTAAATTTCTCCTATCTCCTAAAGTAGCATCACCAGCTAGGAACCAGTGCTCCGTGGTGGAGAGGTATTTGAACAAGTATATGAGAGTATCCTATTCATACATGTGTGTGTGCACTGGAGGCTAGGGATGGTGTTCAGTGTCTTTCTCTGTTTCCAGTTTCTTTCAGTTGATTTCACTTCACTTCACTTCACTTCAATTCATTCATTTGTAGGCAGGGTCTTTCACTGAACCTGAAGTTCATGGCTCTGGCTAGGCTGGCTTACCAGTAGGGTCCCAAGATCTGCTTATCTCTGCCCCCCAACTCTGGGGTTATAGGCTTACAAGGTCATGGCTCAGATTTATATAGGTGCTAGAAATTAAAGCCTAGCTCCTTTTGTTCTCATAGCAAGTGCTCTTATTAAACCATCTCTTCAGTGCTGGGACCAAGGTGTTGCTATATGAATTGTGTGGGGGTATTTCATATTCAAACTATAGTACCACCACTGTCCTCAGATCCTCACACTCACTGTGACTTAGGCATTGCTGTTGTGTTCTCCAGGTTAGGGATCTGGGACTCTGTAGGGAATGCTTACTGAGGTTACAGAGGGAGCTCTGTAGCCCAGCTAGCCGATTCTGCTTTCTGTACATGTGTAGGTATAGAGGAGGTTTGTCAGCACCACAAATCTCAGTGTGGTGAGCTTGTTATTCTGGGTTAATACAACTTCTGACCTTTGTAGCATATAACTCAACAAATTACACTTTGGAGACATTCAAATCTAAATTGAAATTTTGTTGGTGATGTCCTTGATTTTGAATCATAAATATTTTATTTCTTGCTCTAGAATGTTCATAAAACACTGTCCCCCTCTTGCCCTCATTCTTTGTCCTCATCAAAACCTTTTCAAGATTGCATATATGGGACTTTAACAACTATAGCCAAAACAAGAACAACAAAACAACTATAGCCTATTTGACTTTAAATATAACTATACAGTAAGTATTTTTTTGCTATAGAAACTTTCCTAAGTCTTTTGCATGCTCATTGCTTTTTTTCAAAAACGTCATAATTTTGAGAGAGGACAGAGTATATACTCATTTGGTTACAAGTGAATTAGAAATAGAATGGTCATGTTGCTTAGTGACTTAGACATGGAGCTTGGCTTGGAGATGAGAGTGTTCCTAGGTAGCCTCAGGAAGCCTAAGTGATAGTTTGTGGTTTAGAGGAGGAAAGCAAGTCTTTGAATCTGATGTGTAATGATCCTGGGCTAGATCTAGTGGCTTTCTATCCATTTGCCTGAATAAATAAAGTAATAAATAGCATTTGTTAGAGTTTGCTTGTTTTCAAGGAGGCACAGTCATGTGCTGCATACCATTTGGTCCACAATGAACTCGTGTGCCAGTCATCCTATAAGATTATAATAGAGTTCAAAAATGCTCATGATGTCATAGCTGTGGGATGCCCTTAAGCCATTATAGTGTCATCCAGTGCCTTTCTTACGTGTTTGTGCTAATGCTAGTATAAACCTCGTTGCCCCTAGTTGCCAAAAAATACAGCATATAGAGTTATGTAAATACAAAGCTCTTGAGAATCATGAAGTTTGTTTTTAGTATATACTTGATTGCTTTATAACACTAGAGTAAATAAACATGCTGGGTTAAGCTGGGCTCAACTCATCCATATCATTTTCTTAAAAATTATTGTTATTTGTATGTATGCACATTACACATGTGCATGCATGATGTTTTTATATGGGAGTATGGGTACCTTCTGTATTACAGATGTGTGCTATCACTTTTAGATTGACATCTTTAATATAAAACTAATTACATTACTTGTCCTATGGAGGTTAGTGAGGATTGAATGAAATAATGTGTGTTGTATGTGGATCATTGTTAAGTAGTGATTAACTGTTAGCTCATTTCACTTTGCTACCATCAATATTGTGAATATATTGTAAAACTTAAATTGGCAACCTTTCTCAAAAGTTAAAAGTAACGGATCTAAAAAGTATATTGTATAAGGTTGGGATAGTGGCACATGCCTTTAACCCCAGCACTTGGGAGGGGAGGCAGGCAAATCTCTGTGAGTTTGAAGCCAGCCTGGCCTACAGAGTCCAGTACAGCCAGAGCTACACAGAGTAACCCTGTCTTGAAAAACCAAAAAGAAAAAAAAAATGTGTATTTTACAGTTGTTATTGTTATTAAGTCACATATAAGAAATGAAACTTTTTAAAAAAAATGGGCAATTGACAATTAGCTCTATTAATAAAGCTTTTCCTAGGTAGTAATTAAAAATAAAGTTAAAAAATTTAAAGTGAAAGTAACTCTTAAGATGCTTTTCAGAAGTCATTCTTGGTATTGCACAGTGTAAACGTTACGTACTCACATAGAACTCTTTTGTTTTACAGGGTTACACTGTTAGACATTATGATAGCCAAGATAGGGGGCGATGAGCAACTGACAAAGGATGACATCTCTATATTCTTGCGCCATGCTGAGTTGATTGCAAACTCATTTGTGGATCAGTGTAGGAATGTGGTAAAGTTGATTTCAGAACCTCACACTGAGGATAAGGTAAGGAGACCAATCTCAGGACTGGAGGGGGAGAACAGAAAAGTTTTCTAGTTCCATCAAGTCCTCTGTGGGGTTTCTTTCCTAAAAGGTTTTAAAGATTTGTTTTTATTTATGTATGTGTTTTATTGCTTGTGGAGACTTAAAAAAAGGAGTCAGATGCCCTGAAGCTAGAGTTATAGATATTTGTAGGCCACCCTATATGAGTGTAGGAAATGAACCTGGGTCCTTTGGGAGAGGTCTTCATTGGTGACCTATCTCTCCAACCCCTCTTGAAAGGTTTTAGGTACACTCTCTGAGGGATAGGTGGTTTTATTAGAGAATTTAGAAACTACAAATAAGGGGAAACCATGCCCTTGTTTTTTCCAAGTTAATGACTTAAAAAGTAATTTTGGTTGATACTTTTAGTTAGGCACAGGTCCACAGACATGTGTTAAAGACTCCTTAACAGTTCCATTGTTGACCAGAAGTGTGGTAATGGTGATAGTAGTATAAACATAGTGTGCAGTTAGCACACATTCTGAATGAGTGAATGGATGGGGTCAGCCCTGTAATTACACATGTGGATAGTTTCTACTTTATTCATTGTAGACATTGCTGTGGCCCACGTTACATAGTTACATCTTTATATGTGTGCATACTCTTTTGCTGCTCTTGCAAAGGACCTGAGTTAGGTTCCCAATGCCTACCTGACAGTTCACAACCTTCTGTTACTCTAGTTCTAGGAGGTGTAACACCCTCTTGGACTCTGAGGGTAGCAGGCAGGTGAAATATACATATAAAAAATAAATCTTAAAATAAAATATTAAAAAAACCAACAACTTTTCAATATATGTTTCTGAGCTATCTTTAAGAGGTTTATTTCCCCCACTCAGGGTAGGGCCTTCCTAACCCCATCCCTATTGGTTAACTACATCACAATCTCCTTTATTGACCCTTTCTCTACTAAAGGCTACTGAAGCTGATTGGCAGTAATTCTATCCCCATGTTTTCACTGGAAAAACTCTGCTTGTACCTATTTCTTTGCCCTTCCCTTTGAGTTAAAGTCAGCATTGTTCTCTCTTGGAAACTGCTCAGTAGCAAAATAAAAGCACCTCTTGAACAGCACAAAATGCAGTCCCAAAGCAGCGTGTGAGCAGTCGAACTAAGCTAGGCTGGGCTGCATTTCTGTGAGGCTTAGTAGTAGGTTAAAAGCATGGATAAGGACAGAGAACAAACAGGTCACATGTTAGACTTTAGTCAGGGATGAGAGTAATTCCGCAGGGACACAAGGAAACATTTTAAAATGTTATTCATAGCTGTGTACTTTGATACACTGTTTTGTACACTTAAAGGTATGTATTGCATATAAACCGTACCTCAGTGAAGCAGAATTTAAATTCATTTTAGTGACTCATGCTGGAATGCTGTTGGCAGTAGCTTAAGACAAGGTGGGAGAGCTTGGACTTCACAGTGGACACTCACTCAGCATGAAAAGGTGTGCAGAGAAGAAGCAGACAATAGAGCATAGGGTGCCCTGGAGAGATATGTGTGATCCTGAGAATTTCTTCACTTTTAATGTAATTGATGTCATGTTTGTGATAGTTTGGCCTGAGAGTCCACTGCCCTCTTTGTGCTTGGATTCAAGGACACTTGGCTGTTGTCTTTTGTTGTCTTCATTTAGACAACAGTTCTCTTTCTATAAAAGAAAGTAGGAAATTTCAGCATTGATTTACCCTTTTGGAGACAGTTGCTTTTGTTTCCAGCAGGGGGAGCAGGGAGTTGTTGTAGGCATATTAAAAAAAAAAAACAAAAAAAAACTATTTTATTTATGTTCCCTATGCCTCTGCCTCCTTTTGTATCCCAATCCCTTCCAACATCAGGTAGGAGAGAAAGTTAGAGGAGAGAGGGGATGTTGCTATCTTGGTTACATCCTGCTGTTTAGTGTTGTTGGGTTCCTTGGGATAAGTCCAATCTTTCTTTCCGGATATCTCCAATTTCTTGTCAAGCTGCAACAGTAGCAACCAGGAGCAGCAGGGGGAGGCAGCAGCATTCTTCTTTCTCAGAGACCCCCCAACACTCTCTGGGCCCTGGCATTTATTTCTTTCTCAGATTTAAACTACCTGCAGCTGGGAAAGAGCCCCTCATAGAGCCCGCACAAGGCAAATAGTTTGCTGCTGTGGGCAGTCTCAATCAGCCCCATATCCCACACTGGGGATTAAAACAAAAACGTGTTTACATAACATAACTGAATTTTTAAAGACACCAAAACTTTCCACTAAAAGGTGTGCTTTAAAAACATGCTTTAAAAATTAAGTTTCTAGGAAACACTAAAACAAAACAAACAAAACAAAACAAAACGAAAAACCAAAATACTTCAATATTTGTTAAATCATAGCTGTCTTTAAATTGTTCACACGACTTGTGTTTAAGGAAATTTCATAGTATTATAGTGAGATAGACCTGTGCGTGCCCCTCCCCCTCTGTTTCCCTCCTTCTCTGTCTCTCTGGTGTGTGCATGTCTTGTTTGTGTTGCATGCATGGGGGTATGTATATGTTCATGGATGTGTATGAAGAAGACAGTTCAGGATGTCGGGTGTCTTCCTTTATTGTTCTCCATCTTACTGTCATGAAACAGGGTCTCTTATTGAACTAGTAGCTTGCCTTTTTGGCTAGGCTAACCAGCCACAGATCTCTCTGGATCCACCTGTCTCTGCCCACCAAGGCTGTGGTTCCAGCCAGTTGTAATTTTTTTTTTTTTTTTAACCAGAGGTTTCAAACTCTGGTCTTCATGCTTGCAGTACTTATGTTCTCACACTGAGCCATCTCCTCAGCCTCTAATATTTTTATGTAGAAAAATTTATATTTTTCTTTCAAATAGTAGTTTCTGTAAGGGAGGAGGAAGATGCTAATTTGCATAATATACTTTGATCTAGGAATGGGGATAGAAGGCTACAATAGACTTGAAGACTCTTGAACCAATATTCCAGTATACCATGTTCTCAAGTTGTATGCTGGAGCTTAAGATGTTAACTTCTGGGAGTCTGCTGTTCATAGCTGAATGTTTATAGGCTGGCTGATTTTTGGTTGCCAGAATCACTATAGAAGTTTTTGAATGCACATCAGGGCTCTGCCTTCCTTTCCCTCAGCCACTGACCAGCAAGCTGTCAGTGATTTCTTGGACACACAAGATAATTAAGACAACTAATAAAGTTTTCAGAAGACTATGACTAAAAATAGATGTGTTTTCCGAGGTTTTTGGACTGTGTTGTTTGAAAATCCTGAGACTTTCTTCATATGCCTCTTTGGGGAAGTAGCTGCATGTTCAGGTGGCCACACTCACCTTCTAGTGTACTTTATGTTCCTATTTCCAGGTTTTGATACAGATTTAGTCCATTTTGGAATAGCGTAAGGTTTTAAGGTTAAGTTTACTGAATCTTAGTTACTTGTTCTGATCCTCGCCTTTCCTCTGAAAGGTTTATATTTCCTGATTCCTGTGCACTTTGAAAATTGCCCTTAGTTGGAAAGGGTTTGTATTCACTTAAGTGTTTGCAGCCTCAAACTAAGCAGCTTTTTGCAGTAGCAATTCATATGAGCTCATGGAACGAGTAAGAATGGTATCTGTGATTGCACAGACTGATAAGGATCATATTTGGGCACTTTGCTCATATTTCACTTTTCTGTAAACAATTCTTTAGCTGATGTCAGTGAAACAAAGTTAAGAGGTTCCTGGTTTTCCCAGCCCCCACCTCTTTTCTACAGAGCTATTTGTGTCATGTTTTGTTCCTGTACTAAAGCTTTCATGGTGTATTTGCACCTTAAGTTGCTTTGTCTCCTTTTCATAGTGATGTATGGACTGTTCTTTAGCTTAACTTTCCATATGTCTTGTATCTCCTTTCATTTGAATACTGGTGTGCACTGTTTTTTTTATTTTAAAGAAATTTAGCCTTTCAAGAACTTTGTAATCATTTACTTATTGATTTATTTATTTGGTGCTGTAAGGTGTGATAGTGTATGTGTATGTGCCTGCAAGAGTGTGAAGGTTACAGGACAGTTTGGGGGAATCGGTTCTCTCCTTCCAACATGTTGATTTCAGGGATTGAGTTTAAGTTGTGAGCCTTGGGAGCAAGCACCTTAACCTACCAAGTCCTGGCCCTACTGTAGGTTTTTCAAAAGTTGAATAAAGTTTCACTATTTAGACATAGTTTTTTTTTTTTTCTCCTACACTCTGTTACTGACAGAAACCTAACATATTCCCCCTATTAGTCATTAAATTTCTTGTATTAATAAAGCCAGCATTATTTTAGCATATCACTTAAAAATGATTTTCGTAAGGGCTGGAGAAATGGTTCAGTGGTTATAACCTCTACTATTTTTTCAGAAGACCTAAATTTAGTTCAGTGCTTCTGGCCTCTGTGGGGACTTGCGTAAAAACCCACACAGACACATACATGTCCATAATTAAAGAGTCAAAAACGAAGAGTAAAGATAGGGCTGTGGAGATAACTCAAGACAGTGAAGTGGTTGCCATAGCTTTCGGACCTGAATTTGATCCCCAGAACTCATGTGAAAAAGCCAGGTGTGGTGGTGTACTCTTGTAATCCCAGCACTGAGGAGGCAGAAACAGGCAAGCCCTGGAGCTCATGGCCCATAAAGGCTACACTACTTAGTGAGCTCTAGACCAGTGAGAAAGAGACCTCTTTTGGCCTCCCTGGGAATTCACTCTCATGTGCACAAACCCATACTGAAACACATGCATATAATTAAAAATAAAATACATCTTTAAAAAAAATTTGCAAAGTGTTATAAACAGTCTTCTAGTGTACCATTCAAAATACTGCTAAACTGATTTTAATGTACATATTTTTTACCCAACAGTTGGAGAACAGTTATTTGTCCAGGAATGTTCAGTATAACATTAAATTTTATGTCTACAGAAAACAAATTAAAAAGACAAAACAAAGCACTGTGCCCTGTGCAGAATCAGCCTGCTGTTTCTCCAGTAGACTTGTTGTCTAGAAGCTATAGTCTGGGCTGTCAACACTCAACAGGACAGAGTGCTGAAGCCCAGCCGAGTTAATGGGTTACCCATGATACTGACTTCAGACTTAGAATCGAATCTTTTTTTTTTTTTCCCCTCCTACCTCTCTATTAGCAAGTGAAAGCTTTGAAGACTAAGGCATTGAAATTTGTTATTTCTTGATATTATTTGAGATTTGTAGGAAGCTATGTTAAGGACTTATCTTAAATTTTTCTGAAGAATATAAAGAATAGTATTATCAAAAAAGTTTTCTTTGTTGAAGAATTTTATCTTCATGATCTAATTTGTAGGTGTTAGTGTGTTTTGTCAAATAAAGTATACTTGAAAAAAGATGCTTTAATACCTGTAAAGATTATATATTTGAAAAATATATTGGAATGTTGGCATGTGGTGGTTTCCTGGTCATGTTTTCTGTTCTTATGTTTTTCATCTACCAGCACATTGCATACAGTCTTAGATTTACCCAGAAATAATGTAAGTTCTTAAAGTTAGTGTTTTTTTTAGATCAGGACTTTACAGGATTTTTGTGGACAAGAAGTTAATGTGTTTTGTGGAATGTTTGCATCTTTAGAGAGGAACTTTCATACTGAGAATGCTTAAAAAAGAAAGTATTTGCATAAGTGTTATGTGTAGCTTGTAATTTTGAGCATTTATCCCACTGTTGGAAGGTATTTCTGCTTCAATAAGAGCTTTTCTGACTCTTTTCTTTTCTCCAAGAAGACACATAATGACATGTAGTCTTGCCCTCTTGTTGCAGCTGTTAGTGATCATTCAAGAACATTTAAACACTCCTGTTTCTCTCTGCAGATGTGTAACATAGCATTTATTCTCTCATTGTTATTTATAACAAAGTTAAAACTCTGATTCCTAGCAAGGAGGTTTCCTTATCTTTTTAGGAAGCCCTGGTTACAATTCGGCTGCTGGACGTCTTGTGTGAAATGACATCCAACACTGAGCTTCTCGGCTACCTACAAGTTTTTCCTGGCTTAATGGAACGAGTGATTGGTGAGTGAAACAGCACACATCGTACTTTTAGTTAAGAAGACTTTGGCATGCTCTTGAGTATAAATTCAAACACAAGCCCTTGTTTTTGGTGTTTTCACTTGAGATTGTTTGAAATGTTGTCTTGAATGGAATTATGATGTAATGATAACAGCTCAGGTTGCTCAAGCAACTTGTTCCTTTGCATCTGTGGAGGTTGGGTCCTGCTTTGTAGTATGATGACTAGTCAGGCCCCTCTGCAAATACCTACAGTGTCACCTCATAGGAATGTTTTTGATGAAACTGATGATGGGGATTCACAGGTGATAAGGGTGATTTCCTTAAGTTTTATTATGCCATAAGTAATAGATATTGTTTTCATTATACTTCTGAGAACAAAGGATAGTGTTTGACTCACATTATAGATTTAATCTTGTAAGAAGAGATCCTTAATAATTAGGAAGCCATTATTTGAAGCATTGCTGTCTTTTTGGTTGTCAATATACAAGAAAGGTGTCATTATTTGTAGAGGTACAGTTGAGCTAGCAGTGATCTGTAGAAGGCACTAGGAGGTATATCCCAGAGTTCTGTTTGTTTTGCTTTTTAATTTTTAGAGACAGGGTTTTTCTGTGTAGCCCTGGCTGTCCTAGACTCACTCTGTAGACCAGGCTGACCTAGAACTCAGAGATACACCTGTCTCTGCCTCCCAAGTGTTCGGGTTAAAGGCATGTGCTACCACCACGTTGAAAAGTTCTATTTTGAATGCAGTACTTTTAATGATAATCAGAGTAAGTTACCAAACAAGGAATTGTTACGAAGCCCGGAAAAATATGGATTGCCATCCTATCTCTGCTGTTACTACTTCTCTGAGTCTGATTGCTTCATATAAAATTGTGAAAATGATGTCTGCATTTAAAAGATTTGTTCAGAGGGTTCAATGAAATAATATGGAAAAATGTATAACTCCTGGAAGATTGTCTGTTTCCATAGGCTGCTTGGGGTATTCATAGAATATAGCAATATGATTTCTTATGGTTATAGCTAATGTTAATCCATGCCTGAATCTGGTAATTTGGCCACTGAGAAAGCCGTAAATCATTACTGAAACCTCTTGTGATTTACGCTTACCTGACTATCACATTAGCTTTTGCATAAATAAATGGAAATTGAAAATCATTTTGTGAGAAGAAAAGTTGCAAAATTTTAGCTAATTTTCCTTTGTGGATAAATAGAAAGTCCAAGTGAGGCTAATTGTTATGATCAGCCTCCTTCAAACTGGGTCTTTAAAAAAAATAATGTGAAAGCAAAGAAGCTGTCTAGTTGTTACGGCTATTTTATCTCTGGTGGTGCTGAAGAAAGACTGATGCAAGCTGGGCAAGGGCTCTGCTGCCAAGCTGTGCCCTGCACATGAGTAACTATTGAAGGAGGGTTTGGTGCTCATTTACTTTATTTTAATCCAATGGGTTTGTTTATGGAAGACTTAGATGCTGTACTAGTTTCTTATGGAAAGTGAATCTCTACCTTTTTGCTCTAGATGTTTTACGAGTGATTCATGTAGTTGGAAAAGACACCACGAACATCTTTAGTCCCTCTGGCACTCTAAAAGCCGAGGGTGACATTGAACACATGGCTGAAGGGTTTAAGTCTCATCTCATCCGACTGATTGGAAATCTGTGTTACAAGAATAAAGAAAATCAAGACAAAGTAAGATTATTTTTTCGTGTATGTGTGGAGGGCAGTGAAACCTTATGTGAGTTCTTAGAAAATTGATTGAAAAGAATATCTATAGGTTAATATGTAATATAAAATAGTATGCAACATCTTATTTTTCTTCAAATAAGCACAATATGTCATACTTGATTTTTTTGTACTTTTTATTTTAGTGGGGTGTGTGTGTTAGATGTATGAGTGTGAAACAGTGTAGGCATATGTTTGCCAGTGCATGCATGTGAAGTTGGTTCTCTTCTTTTCTCCCTTTACTGTCCATTCTTTAAATCAAGCTTAAGTTGAACAAGTGCTTTTTGTCTGCTGAGCTATCTGGCTAGCCCTCTATGTAACATTCTTTTGCTTTAAAGTCTGTGTTTTTGTAGTTCTGGCATTGTCTTTGTCCTGAATGTATTTGAGGCACTCTCCTTTCTTATAAATTAGCAGAGTTTGTCTGAAGTATGTTTATTTAAGCATTCTATTATGATTCATGGAACAATCAATAAAATAAAAGCAAAAACAAGCCAGGCTTGGAGGCAAGTGCATCTCTGTGTAGGCTGGCCTAGTCTACATAGCAAGTTCCAGGCCATCCAGAGCTGCATAGTGAGATCTGGTCTCAAAAACAAATCAGAGAACAAAAAAAAAAAAAAAAAAAAAAAAAAAAAAAAAAAAAAAAAAAAAAAATTAACAAGTTTGTAAATTTTTCTAGTAATAGGCTTTTCAGAAACATGGAGCCAGACACCTGTTTTCCCTACCTTAAGAAGGACCAGCCAGGTGGCTCACTACTTCAAGGCCAGCAAGACCCTGTCTCAATGAATGAATGAATGAAACAAACACAAACAAACCTGGCTATACTATAGGAAAAATTCTTGGCTTATGCATCCTACATTGATGGGTGAATAGTGCTGTGACCTGAGTCTTTTAAACTAGGTGTTTTGAATGGATATGTACTTATTAACGTGAGGGGCCACCTTTAGAACCTCTTTTGTTCTCTCCTTTGTACTGTATGTTGTAGAACTGAGAATACTAAAAGCATAATCTTGTTATCGATAACAGAGTTGCATGATGATTCCATCACATGCTTCACAATGAATTAACACACACACACTCCATCCCCCAGATAGGACCTTTCTTTGTAGATCTGTGTAGTTCCAGCTGTCCTGGAACTTGGTATTTAAACCAGGCTTGCCTTGAGCTTAAGAGATCTGCCTGCCTCTGCCTCCTGAACACTGATATTAAAGGCATGTGCCACCATGCCTAGCTGGAGCTAGGGGTTCTTTGTTTTACTTGGATTTACTCTGAGCAGTGCTTGTTTTGCTTGTTTAAATATTAAATCTATTACAGATTATATTTTGTAAGACATCTGTAATTTTTTGTTACTGTGTGTATATTGTCATTTTACCACACTTCTATCAAGGTGTCTGTTTTCCATTCTCTTGAGTCTCTCCAGCCCACATGGCAGCTTTGAACAATAACATATGATAGGAATAAGTCTGTATCATTTGTGGCATAGTTTTTGTGGCATAGTTGCATGCTTTTTAGAAGATAGTTATGATGTAAGAAGTCCTGATTCCATGAGACCATCTTGCTGTGACTTGGTGAGACCATGTACAAAGGCCCTGGAAACTGCAATGAAAGAGTGGGACTAGTCAGGAAGAACCATAGTGACAGACACACTTGCAGAAAGCCATCTTGAAAGTATATGTAGCCTGGGTTCTTTACATGACTGCTGACCCAGGCAAAGCCTTTTCTCAGTTATGGATCACAGTATTGAAAGAAAAAGTGAATTTAGGAAAAACTTTTGTAGGTTTTTCCTTCTGTTACTAGTGTAGGATGCTGCTATTGGCTTTAACAGTTGTAAACTGTGGATGAAGGCAGTCTTGCAAAGATACTCAAATTATGGCACAAATTCATAGATTCTGGAGTAAAATTGATACTCGAAGGGAATGGGACAGAATGTAACATACAGAAAATCTGCCTGCCATGTTTTCTAGTTTGAAGAGGACAAACAAAAAAAACAAAAATCAAACAAACAAAAAACACCCCCCCCCAAAAAAAAAAAAAACAGGAACAAAGCAGCAAAATGCCTCAGTGGGTAAAGGCACTTACCACCAAGCCTGATGACCAAAGTTCAATCCTTATGTTCCGCATGATAGATAGAAGTTTTCCCCTGGCTTCTATAAAAGTGCTGTGACATATTCCAACCAGTCCCCCCCACACTGTCTTCTCCTTCTTCCCTCTCTCACAATAAATGTAAATTTTAAAACCCAAAAACAGTTTGGGGGCAAATATTGGAAGTAAGGAGGGAATTCCAGAAAGGTACAAGCAAGCACCAGGTTCTGTGTACCAATTCCCTAAATTTTTGCTCATATTTGAATCCCGTACAAACTTGGCATGCTCCAGGCAGGTAAGCTGTGGACAAAATAGTTATTAAAATCTAAGTTGTCAGTCTACAGGGTTTACATTTAAGTCAACTAAAATAAGTGTTCACTAAAGCAAACAAACAAAAAATAGCCCACTTTAGAGGAATATAATGTAATTAAGAGTTTCCACAGCATAGTTCATATAGTGTCTAGGATCCAACACAAAATCACCTGACCTACAGGAAAATGTACTCTGTTGTTAAAGGAACTGTTAATCAAAAGAAGCTGACTGCAAATCACAAAGATGCTGCCAAGGATTTTAAAGGAGCAATTGCAACAGTGAATTGACAGTGTACATTATATGAATGAAAAGACAGAAAGAAATAGGAATGAAAGATAGAACGAAGTAGAAATTTTAGAAATGAAAAGATGTAGCATCTGATATTAAAAGGTTTATGAATTCTTAACAATACCACAGAGCTGGTAGGGAAGTATGAGTGCTTGATTCTATAGCCTAGAAAAGAAGATTGAAAATACAGCAGGCCTTTGTAATATATTGCAGTTGGGCACAATTTGTTATATGGCAATCGATTATGGGGAGAATGAGACCTGTTTTGTCCAGTGTGTGTGCAATCTGAATATTCTTCCTCATTGAGCAGGCAGGTAGCTAAGACTACTGATTCCTTCTTAGAAACTTGCTAGAGCAAAAGAAAATTGATAGAGAATAAAACACTTTACTTTTTTAATAACCAAAACTACTTTTCTTTAGGAGCACACCAGAGCTGAGTTCCTTGTGTTCAGTGATTGCTTTGTTGCTAATTTGGGTTGGCCTCTTACAGGAACATGATGTAGTAACTCTTTGGTAACTTATGAAATAGCTCATAAGAGTCAGGAACAGGTTGCACCCTGAGTAAATGTAGAATGCACCCCAATGCTGTGCAGAGGAGCATAGGGTCCACAGGAAGTTGCTGGTGTGTTCTCTAATAGAGAAAACACTCTAGAGATCATGAAGGATTCATTTGAGTGTAAGAATGAATGCCTCTATCCCAGCATCTTTCCTGTGCTGACAAAGGGCTCAAACCTGAAAGTGTTACCTCTGGGGAACACACCCCTCTCCCCCGTGCTTGCTTTTTCAATGCTCTCGAAACATTTTTATTCTTGTAGCTCAATCCTGACTCCAGTTGGATAGTAAAAATACATTTTCCTTTCTTATTGTCCCTGCAAGGGATAAAGTTCAGTAGCTTTCACAAACTTTTGTTACAGCTCTGGGGAACTGGATGTTTGGGTAATAGTTCTTTATATGTGAGTCACAAATTCCCAGTGTGTGTTTAGGTGGTTTGTTTGACTTCTATGCAAATTGGAGACTACAGATAAATTTGACTTTATATTTCCAAGACTAAATAAAGATCTAGGGTAGGGGGGATTTGTCTCATCTCACCAAAAGAAAAAAAGGAATGGATGATTTATTTGTTTAGTGTCTGTGTTGCTGCATCATGCCTTCCTATAGGCATTGTCAGCTTTAACCTTTGCAGCAGCCTTGCAGAGCAGGTTTTGTTAGGGATGTGAAAGGAGAGGCTCTCCAGTGGTGTGCTGGCAGAACCCAGAGTAGAATTTAGGTTGGTTTTCCCGTGACTCCCCAGGTCTGTACCTGTTCTCCTGCACTCTAATACTTCTTATTTGGAAATTCTCGTTACAGCTTGGAGGGAAAGGTTTAGAGTAGACTTCCTGAAGATAATCAGCCCATAGGCCATCCAACTAGAACTTCTCAACCCCTTTTGGGTTCAGTTAGAAAACTCCAGGGGACTTTTCCTTAACCTTCAGGGCCTTTCTTTGATTGATAAAAATTTGCCTCCTGAGAAGGTTCCATTCTAGGAATGTTGTGAGAATTTCTTTCTTGGGGAAACAGCTGTTTCCTCCCTACAGGTTCCCAAGAACACACCAAAGTTTGATTCTACCAAAGTTCACTCTGGGGAATCAGTGCGTTTATTAGAGACTATTAATAATATTGGGGGACTCTGAGATAGTAGCACCTGAAAATCTCAACCTAGTGTAGATAATGGCTTCCCTATAGCCTCATAGATGGAGTTCCCCACGGTTAAGCTTTCCCAGCTTATATGCTCCAAAAGCTACTTACAGTCAGGACAGAATTTCATACAGAGGGCTGGGAGACACAGGAGGGAGAAGAGTCTCCTTCTTTGAGGGTGGGGAAATAATTTTCCCTCTAGTGACCTCTGTGAGGGCTTGTGCAAGCAGGCAGGCGCAGCTTGTGAAAAATGCAGTTGTTTTGCTTAGTGGATTGTGTTCTACAAGGAACATCTGGGATCTTACCTCTGACCACTGAGCTATTCACAATGGGAACTTTGGTAGACTCTTTACACAGCACTTAGTTCCTCTGAAATCTGCCCAGAAGCCTTTTGAGCCCTACCATATTTCTGCTTGTCATGTAGCTTCATTCATTGGAATGCAGCATCCAGCAACTGGGTAAGGCCCTTCTTCTGTGTCCTTTGGAGTTTCCTGTCTTTTTGCATCTACATTGGGTCACTAGAGTCTATGATTCCTCTATGAAAAAGACTGAAAGAAAATTTGTCAGCATCAGTTTCTAAATGGAGAAACCAAGGCTTAGGGAGGTTCCTGTGT